AACATTAGTGCAGTGGTTTATGTTAAAATAAACCTTTGGGTTAAGTTGTCGCAAGCAGGTTTTTCTTGTTTCTTGTGAATTTGGTCTTAAATTTTTATTTTCAAGTGGCATTAAAAAGTCTTAAAAAGTCTTGAATTTAACTTGCCTTATGCTGTAGGAACTCTGTAATGGCATAACGACACAACAATAGACCTGTAAGCAACATCATCTGGGTGGACGCCATATGAAGTACGGCGATAGTTCCGGAAATCGGCCAAGAAGAAACAATTATGCAATCCTCAGTAGTATATGATCACATACAGAAAAATGGAACCATTGGTGACGGCCCACCCCCACATGTTACAGACATCCTAAGTTCCAAAAACTCATTTCAGGGAGATGCTTATCATTCTCCCAGCAGCTCTTCTTTCCTTTTTCTTCTCTGGAATCCTCTTAAGCACCTATTTTAGGTATCCATCGTCGTACACATTGTATTTAACAGTTATGGTTTTATTTTATGCTCTGGGTTACCATAAATGAAATACTTAAATACATTGTTCTTTTAAGATCTTTATTGCAGTTTTAAACATATTATGAGTGTATTTTTTACCAACCGTCTAACTGTGTCCAGTTAGACGGTTGCACTGTCTGCTTTGCTATTGGTGTCGTGTTTAAACGGCTCACCGTCATGTTGAAATCTGTGTTGGGGTATAAATGCGGTCTGGTGCGGTCAGTCACTTCAGATTCAGGTGGCCTTAAGAGGAATTATTCACACCAATACATCTGCAAAGAGACGTCCAAGTCTACAATTTCATAGGGGGCCTGCCAGGTGTCAGTGATGGGGCCCTTAAAGGGGAATGCTGTTTTTTCTTTTTTTTTTTTTTACATTGGCCCCTTGATTTTACGTTATTACATCATGTTCTACTCACCCATATGAGTTTTGTGTCATTTGAAGCTGTTCTGAAGATATTCGGTTAGGTTATATCTAGGGCTGCAACAACGAAATGATAAAATCGACTTTTAAAAGCGTTGGCAACGAATTTCATCATCGATTAGTTGTGTCGCGCGATGAATGCGTCATCCGCCGCCGCCGTCATCACATCCACTTGACTGAAGCGGGGGAAGAAGAAAAAATATGGCAGGGCGCAGTGTTGCCAACTCAGCGACTTTTCAGAC